ATCATGCGGGCACCACACTTGTTCTCACAGTACACGCTCTCTTGGGGGCACATGCCCTCGTGACTCTATAAAGAGCACAGGGGCTGAGTTAAGGGACGCCTGGACTCCTGGGTGTCTCACCCTAACCCTTCACCTTCAACCCGGACCCACCTACCTCGTAGGCCTCCCCACTGAAGTCACAGCCACAGAATTCACACTTGAGACGGCGCTTAGGGCAGTCGTGCTGCAAGTGAGCAGGCAGGTCTCGGCGGCTCAGCTTGGCTGGACAGCGATTGGGGCAGGGGACCACGTTGAAGCCGCAAGTGTTCAAGTGGCCCTAGTGGGAAAGACCCAATCAGCATCTAAAGTCAGGGCCAGTCCCAGCTCTCCTCCAGAGCCTCACCTGTAGATGGCGAAGTGGCCCACTCCAGCGGCAGCCCTCCTCACTGTGGATGCAGCGAATAGGCAACCCTAACACCTGGACCTCCAGTTCTGGGTCTGGGTAGATCTGTGTGTGGACAGAGAATGGGGGGAGAATGGGGGCCAGAGAGGATCAGAGCCTTCTGTAGTCGCATTCACCCTGACTCTCAACTGAGCTGGCTGTGTCTATAAGCCGGTAATTAACCTCTAGAGCAAAGACCTCTCCGACTATTTGTCTATTTGTCTTTGTGCCCTAGGATGAAGGGCACAGAAGGTTGTATCTACTGTGACTTGGAACCTAGGGTCCCCAACATGCCTGCACAAGAACATGCTCCCTTCAGGGGGGCACCCCATCACATCAGCCTGCTCAGTCACAGGCTAACCCCCCCCCAGCTTCCTTCCTCTTAGTGGAGGGGTCCTGGCCCCCAGCCACAGGTCTAACTTGCCACAGGAAGAGGAGGGAGCACTTTTTATAGGCACAGAGCAGCTCTGTGCACCCCTACAGGCTGGGCATTGTGCCTGTCCCCCAGGGCAAACAAGTCTTAGTTTGCAAACTGGCCTGGTGGGAGAGAACAGGCTACCTTTGTGGGGGCACCAGATCCTAAGGCTTGAGGTTGACACTGGCCCTGTGCCTGCCCAGGCTGCCAACAGCTCCAGCCTCCACCAGGACCCAGGCTTCTAGCCTAGCAGTGTGGACTCACCTTGGCATAGTCCAGAGGAAGCTGGTCCTCAGGGCATTTGAAGACTCCTTCACTGAAAGGGGAGAAGGCAGGGTCAAGGCTCAAGCCTCAGTCCTTCGACCAGGGTAGCCACCCTCCCTTGCCAGGCCCCTTCCTAGCCCTCCATAGCTGAGACACAAGGGAAAGCGGAGGTCAGAAGGAACCCACTTTTCAAAGGTACTAGACTACCAACAAAGGGCATTCGAGGTCCAGCGCCGACAGACACAGCTGCCCTGGGCAGCACTTACCCAACAGGTGGCAGCTGGCAACCCCTCCCCCCAAGATAGCAGCTGGACTTGAAAGAAACAGGCAGCCTGCCACCCACTCCCCCCAAAATGGTTTTCATTGGCTATTCTGAGAGCTCATGGGAGGGTGTGCAAAGATGGTCTTGGATGAAGTGCCAGGGTTACCCAGCCTCCATGACTGTGCCAGGCCAAGAACCAGGGCAAAGGTCATTTTGAGGCCACTTTATGTTATCCCCTCCTCTTCTGAGGGTCTGTCTGTCTCCTAAAGAAGTGGGAAGGAGCTAGCTGTGGTAGCACACGATGGTAAGATTTGCTGAAACAGGCAGAGGCAGGAGGATCATGAATTTGAGGCCAGCCTGGGCTACACATAATCCCAGCACTAGGAAGGAAGAGACAGGTGGATCTCTGTGAGTTCGAGGCCAGCATGGTCTACAGAGTGAATTCTAGGACAGGCTCTAAATCAATAGAGAAACCCTGCCTTGAAACCCCCCCCCCAAAAAAAAAAAGTGGGAAGGAAAAGTAAGGCCTTTGGCCTTGTGTTCACTCACATTCCCACCTGGCTTTCATCACCAGGGTTAGAATGCCCCTACTCAGAGAGGAAACAAAACAGAAGACCCAGGCTCCTTAGTGAAGAGTCCTGGGGATGTCTGTCTGTGGCAGCTCTCCATCTCAGACAGGCTCTAACCACAGGCAAGGCTTCTGAAACTTGGTGACCCCAACCGCTGTCAGCTGTCCTGTCTCCACCCAGACATTAACACCCATAGAGCCTGGTAGCATGCCTCTTCCTGCCAGTATGCCCTAGCTGACCCCAAAAGACCTGTCACACATGACTGTCATGATCCAGGCAAGACAAGGGCTCACCCAGCAGGACAGGGGCCCCAAGGCATGGCATTCCTGGCAAATCTGAGTCAGGTAGGCGGCAGGCAGGCAGGCCTCAGGGCAGAAGCAGAGGCTACATGGCAGCCCTGTTGTGAAAGGCCTTTCCAGAGCCTGGGCAGTCCATACCCCAGGTGCCCAGTCCACTTTCTAGCACCTTCTGTTGGCCCTGCTACTATTGGCCATGGCCTGGATGCAAAGAACAATACATGCTCAGGCACCAAACAGGTATGCCTGCATCCACAAGGCAAGCAGCCTTTCTGGCTCAACCTGCGTAATAGCCTCCGCTGGAGTGGGGAAGAGGGGTGGACCAAGGGGGAGGGGGTCCACTTGGCTGCTTCAGGAATGTGCTGACCCAGGGATTCTGGAGACAAGGGGACTAAGGCAAGTCCCTAGGCTTCAGGCAGAGGCCTACCCTGCAACTTGGGGCCCAGCCAGGACAAAGGTTTGGCCAAGGCTATGGACAACCTAACTTGTGTTGGGGGGGGGGCAGCGCCCGCTCAACTACCACTAAGAGGCCAGGGAACACTAGGTCGACGGGGGAGGGGAGAAGGCAGAGACTGCTCCTGGCTGAGCAGTGGAGGCCCAAGCCCAGGGGAGAAGACAGGATGGGGGGAGGGGGCAGTGGGAGAGGAAGAGGGGATTTCCGGGAGGAGGAGGGGCAGAAGCAGCCTGGAGGGGACTGAGAAGGAGGTGGAGGAGGAGGGAACTGAGCCTGACAGCCCCTCCTGGCTCCTTCCCCGAGGCAGTAAGGGTGGGTCAGCTGGAGGAGGGGGCTGGCTCAGCTGGCCTCATCTGGAAACCAGAGGGCCAGGAAGGGAGCTGAGGAGACAATGGGCCCGTGTGTCTGTAGAGGAGTTAAGTGTGTACATTGCAGGGAGGAGGGCCAGAGGGAGGAGGGAGAAGGGAAGGGAGGAGGAGGAGGCACAGCAGCTTGAGCAGGAGCATATGTGAGAGGAGCCCGCGGCTGCTAGGAACAAAAAACAAAGGGCCTGCTGAGATTTCCGCCAGCCAGGCTCTTCGGAGGGGGACGGAGCACTGAGGCACAAGTCCCAAACTGCTCTCCCGCCGGCACCTTCGGACCGCGGCGGACCTGCCCTTCCTTGTGCTCTAGGGCACGACCTCCACAAGCGTCGGGCATCCCCGGCCTCCCCTCCCACACCACAGCCCTCAGCGGCAGGAGACTCAAGACCGACCGCACAGGGTGCTCAGAAATGGGACGGGTGCCTGAGGCGGCAAGGCAGGACGTGTGTCCTGGGAGGGCAGGGGACATTTAGTAACAGCCCGGGAACAATTCCCCTTCCTCCAGTGTACCCGACCATCCGTCATACTCAAGACCCCAGAGAGGGTCCCCGCTTGAGAGGCGACGAGGGCGGCAGGGTCACAGTCCAAACTACTGCGCGACCACACGCAGCCCGGGCTGGGGTCCCTGCTAAGACCACAGTCGTGTGACCCTGAGCAAATCGTAGCCTTTCTTTCCACCTCTGGGAAATGGGAGGACAATAGCGGCCGCTAAATTTTCAGCGTCAGAGAGTAAGGATGGACGGGTGAAAACTCCAGAGGCTTGCAGTGTCGCGCGGGAGAGGCTTTGTCCTTCCCTTCCCCAAAGGATTCAAAGTTCAAGGCTGCGGCCGCTCGGGCTCAGGTGCGGGGGGGGAGGGGCGGCCTCGGGTCGGGAAGGGCGTCTTTCCCTTCGCCGCCGCTCGGGGAGGCAGCTCTCCACCTGGAGCTGGGCAGGTAGGACCCGGGCGCCCTTACGCCTGGGTGCGCGGGGTCCTCCCCAGAGCCCTGACGTCACTGCCGTCCCTTTGACATCATGGTGGGCGCTCCTGAGGTCACCGGGCGGCCGCGCAGACAAAGGCCCGACGTGTCTCCGGCGCGAGCCCTTCCCCATGCAGTACCCTCACCCCCTGCACCGCCGGCCGAGGCCTGCCCCCCTCCCCCGGGTCGCACCTGAGGAACTCCTGCAGGCAGGTGTCGCAGAAGCGGTGGCCGCAGGTAGACACCTGCACAGGCTCGCGCATGGGCTTCCCGCATAGTGGGCACAGCAGCCGCCGCTTGGGCTTCTCCAGGAACTTGTAGTCGAAGCCGGGCATGGCGGGCTGGCGGCGGGCACGGGCGAGCGGGGCCGGGCACGCGGCGGCCCCACAGCCCGCGCCTCGCTCCGGCCGTGTTCCCCGGCTGCGGGCGGCGCCGACTGGCGGCCGCGAGCGGCCCGGGTCCGCAACCCCGCCCGCCGGAAGAGGGGGCGGAACCGCGTCCCCACGGTCCTAGAGCCCGCCCTCGCGCCCCGCCCACTCCACAACCTCTGAATGCGGTCGCTCTCGGGACTCTGCCCAGGCTTCCAAAGTTAAGTCAGCCTCGCCCACCCCCGGAAGCTGGGGCTTCTCTTTCCCGTTGGAACCGAGAGCGTGGCTGAGATTCTTCCAGAAGTGGGGGGCCTCTTGCCTGTCTGGTCGCACCACAAAGACTTGGCCCTTTAGAAGCCACCTTATGGTCTCCTGCGCCACACGCCGCCCAGGGACCCGTGGCTCTAGCTTCCAGGTGCTAGGCACCGAAGCCTGGCAACAGGATCCGAGAAAACCCGGCTGGAGCAAGGAAGCAGGGCTGGGCGCTGGGCCAGCAGAACCTTGGCCCCAGCCTCCGGCCTGACTGCGCCCACATTCCTCCCGGCCGCTGCCCTACAACCACAGTCGGGCCCAACCCAGTCTTGAGGTGTCTAGCAGCCACCTCCGCCCCAGAAGAGACCATATACCAAGCAGGCATTTGATAATTTTATTGGCGCTATTTTCAAACCTTTCAGAAATGACTGGTCGAGTCTGGCCTGCTACCTTTTTTCCTCAGTCTAGGTCTGGGAAATGGCCTGGAGTAAGGGACAACCTTCAGCAGGGTCCCCTTAACCATTCAATAGCTCCACCACTCCCTCCCTGGGCGGTGGGGGGGAGCCCTCCCAGAGGTTTGAGCAAACCCCCGCCTCAGGAATGACAGAAATGGGGACTCCCTTCGACCTATCAGCCTCAAGCTATGCAGGGATTAGGCAGGCCTAATGGCCAGTCCAAACAAGCCCTGGCTTGCCCTACTCCAAAGCTTGGCATCAGTCTCCACGAGGACACCACACCGCTAGCCTGGGACTTCTTTCTAACCCTGCTTGGGGTGTGTGTTTATGTGTGTGTGTGTGTGTGTGCTTTTTCAGCAAAGGCTTTAAAGACTGCCCTGCTGTTAATTCCTGCCAGACTGGAGCCTGGAGACACTTAAGTAAGATAAGGAGTTGGGGGGGGGGGGACGGACTTGGAGGAACAAAGTGGCCTTCAGTGGCCTTTCCACCTCACTGATGACACAATCCAGGACGCTGGAAACAGTGGTTCCTCAGGCACCTGCGTTTTTCAGAACACTCAGAGGTGGTCTCTTGGATAATCCTGTTGCCTCAGGGGGGAACTGGTTCGTCTGTGACCGCTGAGGAATATCAAAAAGAAGTTCCTGCAGCCCTTCTGGAGGCAATGCCTATAGCAAGCATCCTGCACCTTTGATCTCATTGAGCCCTGGAGCCAAAACCCTCCTGCCAGGCCAGAGATGGGGACTTAATATCAACTGGATCCAGGAAGTATTAGAAGAAATGATTCAAGTGAGGCCTAGAGAGCAGCTGTGACAGCCCTTGCTCACCCGGGCTGGAAGCCTGGTGTTTTACACATCTCCTTCCTATCCCCACTGGCTGTGATTTCACTTTGCTGGGGGCAGAAGATTGCTCTGGGTAATTTGAGTTGTAACTACTGAGGATGGAGTAAGGAGCAGAGGAGAGCTGGGTTAACCCCATGGTGTGGGTGAGACAGGAAAAGGAAACTCACATCGAACAGCCAGGAGAGTGTTCCCATGGCAGCAGGACACTGAAGTCACCATGTATGGAAGAGTCTCATCCAGCTGCACTGGCCTAGGGAGTCCAGCATCCTCATCCCTCCTTCCCAATCGACCTCGGGCTCCTTTGCCCCAAGAATACACTTCCCCTTCTGCCAAGAATTCAAGAGAAGGGGCACAGCCCAAGCTAGCACCCCAGCACTAGACAGTAAGAATGACTCCAAAGGGAAGCACTGAGCATCAACTACCACATGCTTGCCATGCCCACTCTCAAGCTGCCCACCCTCACCTGCCCCAATGGCTACAGTGAAGGCATCCCCACAGGCCACCATCACCATCTTGATGCCCTCTAGGCCTTGGACCCGACAGGGCACCCTGCTGGCCCGGCGAGAACTGGTGCCCAATTGCCCGTGCTGATTGCTGCCAAAAGTATAGCAGTCACCAGAGGCTGTGGGGATGGGAAGAAAACATAGGAAAGAACACTTGAACAGAAGTCTGGAGGAGGCCAGGTGAATCCCCCTTAGGCCTCCCAGGCCTGAGTCCTACTCACTAGTAACAGCAGCAGAATGAGCAGTGCCCAGGTCTACACACAGCAGGGGCTCCTGGTCCAGAGGTGCAGAGCCCAGTGGTGAGAAGCTCAGGGCCTCCTCCACTTGCTGGTGGGGATCAGGCTCCTCATCCAGGGACAGGTGATCCAAGCCTAGCTTGTTGAACCTAAGGATAGAGTCAGAAACCGTAAGTTTGTACAGGCTGCCTTTCTCCCACTACTCACAGACAGATCCTACCCTGAGCTGAACCAAATAATAGTTTCATCCCTCTTTAGTTCTGATTCTTGAAAGAGGGAACCAATGAGGACTGGAATACTTTGTAGCTAAAGAGGGTAGAAAGGCAGGCCTATCCCTTGGATGCCTCTACTTACCTGTTACTTCCACAGGCCAGGACCCTGCCAGGCAAGGTGAGGATCATGGAAGAGTCAATACCACAAACAACTCTCTGAGCTTCCTGTCCTACGGGTATAGGCACCTGCTGGGGGCAGCTATGGGACTCCCTAGTGCCTAGTCCCAGCCTCCCTACAAAAAACAAACAAAAAATCAAGGAGGCGTTAGTTTGAACTTTAAGGATGATAATGCCAGGAAAGGAGAATGAATAAAGGTTGGTCTCAGCCCAAAATGCTTTTCTAAGGCCCTACTGCTGGTTGACAGCCTTTAACGCCTTGCTTATAATTCCAACAGCAGCTAGGTGTAATGGAGCAATGGAGCACACCTCTAATCAATTATAGCACTCAGGGCTGCCATGAGTATGAAGCAAGCCTGGGCTACAGTGATTCCAGACTAGCTGAAGCTACAAAGCTAGGTTCTACAGGCCGGAGAGATGGCTCAGCAGTTAAGAGCACTGGCTGCTCTTAATAGAGGACCCAAGTCCAATTCCCAGCTCTCACACAGCAGCTCACACCTGTCTGTAACTGCAGTTCCAGGTACTCCAACACCCTCACACAGAAAAAAACATGCAGGCAAAACACCAGTGCACAAAAAACTATTATTTGAAAACAAAAGTTTTAAAATCCTAACACTTAAAAGGCTGAGGCAGCAATAAAGGAAGTTGTGGGTGAGACTTTGCCTCATAAAAAGAAAAAAGCTCTATCCAAATGCCACCTGCCTCCCTTTAATTTCAATGTTAATCTTTGATATAGTCCTGGTGTCTTCCAGCATCTCCCCCATCCTGCTCCAACACACACACACACTTTCTACTTGAGACCTCCAGGACAGGAACCCATCTAAGACATCACCATGTTAAGTACCTAGTCGGGTGGGTTGTGAGTATAGGTCATACGTATTAATATGTGCACAGTTTGAATCCCAACACTGCAAAGACAAGTACTGTCAGAAGAACAAAATGTCCCTTATGCCATAAGCCTGAATGAATACACTTTTTGGGGTTTTTTGTTTGTTTGTTTTTGTTTTGAGACAGGGTTTCAGTCAGTCAGTGGTGTTACATACCTTTAATCCCAGCATTCAGGAGGCAGAGGCAGAACTTTGTTAGTTCAAGGCCAGCATGGTCTACAGAGTGAGTTTCAGGATAGCTAGAGCTACACAAAGAAACCCTGTCTCCAGAGGAGGGGAAAAACAGAGACAGGGTTTCACTGTGTAGCCCTGGCTAATCTGGAACTTGCTATCTAGACCAGACTAGCCTTGAGTGCTGGGATGAAAGGACTGTATCACCACATTTGGCAACAAATCGTTCATCTTATCAGTTCAACACCTAACAAGGGGTAAACACATGGAGCTATGAAATAATGGTTTGTCCAATGGATGATCGGAACAGGAGGAAAGAACAGGAAGGAAAGAGTGGGCCATGGAGAGGAAGATGGGCAAACTGAGGAACAAACCATGATGGAGAAAGCTGTGAGAGGGACCCTGCAGGCTGTCGCTGGCTTACCACCATCTCCTCGGCCCCAGGCAAATAGTTCTCCATCTGTGGACAGGGCCAGGACATGAGAGGCACCACAGGCCACCTGTACCATCTCATAGCCCAGCAGGGCTTCCACAATGGTGGGCTAGAGAGAGCAAGGAAAGTAGGGTGATTGAAGTGTACCAAACTTGCCCCGCCCCTCTCTGAAGCAGGAAGTTACAAACTGCAAATTCTCAGGTTAACTGTCTCTTTACCGCCAACCACACATTCACATTCACAGCACGCAGACATAGCAACAGGCGGGAAGCCATTAGGGAAGCTTTCTGTACTTCCCCTGCTCTGACCCACAACAGGTGCAGCCTGGGAGATAGTGGGGCATGTGGCCCCGGGGCTCCCCAGCCCCCAGTCTGCTATCGGCCCCCTGCCATCCTCTCACTTCTCTTCAGAGAACATGTATCACCCACCTGGTTGATGTCAGTGAGGTTGCCATGGCCTAAACACCCGTTGCTGCCACTGCCAAAGGTCATGATGATGCCTCGGTCTGGGAGGAAGACAGTGAGAAACATAAGAGAGGTAGATCTGCATTTCAGGTAGTTTGGTTCATTTACAGGTTGGAGGAGGGAGATAATACTGGGAGCTAAGTGGGGCATAGCGGTGCATGCCTTTAATTCCAGCACCCAGGAGGGAGAAGTAGGTGGCTCTCTGAGAGTTCCAGGACAGCCAAGACTACATGGCCATCTTTACTTTATCTTAAAAAAACAAAAACCTGGGATTGCAACTCAATAGTAGAATGCTTGCTCACCATACACAAGGTCCTCAGTTCAGTCTCCAGTGAGGGGGGAATTGAAAGGAGGGAAGATATTGAAAAGGGGCTGGAAGGGCAGGATGTGGGGGGAGGCATAGGTAGTCTCCTTCCAATGTGTAATTTTGGACTAGTGAGAGAGAGCCTTACTTTCCCCATCTGTCAAATGGGGATATTACAACATGTTCACTGCCAGGCCTACTGTGTTGCAGTCAGCAAACCCCAACTGCTACTAGATAAAAGCAGTAACCCTTAAAGTGAGAGATTCATTAATTGAGCCATTTGGGATGAGAGAAGTTGCATTGTCTGGCTTTCTCCTATCTCCACAGAATATTTTCCCCTGACAAGCTTACCAGTCAGGCAAGCCGTGAACAGGTCCCCGCAGGCCACATGTTTGATGGTCACACCCGACTGGCCCTCCAGGAAACGTGAGACGAACTGGGGCTGGGGCTGCTCCACTGCCCCTGGGAGTAGCGTCCCTCCTCCAGTGCCTAGGGGCGGGGCCTGCAGGGGAGTGGGCGGCGCCTGAGGATCCCAACTCCACTTCTGGTCTCCCACCCTCACAGAAAGGAGCCCAAAGCCAACCTGACCTCCCATAGGATGAGGCGACCAGAGCGTGTAACACCAGCCTTCTGTGTGCGACCTGCGGACACCTGGACCACTTCAGTGTTGAGCATCGGGAGCCTCAGGGGGACGCTAAGGCCCCCGCCCCATGCATACACCGAAGACAGTGGCAGTGGGATGGCCGGTCTCATGGGTCCCCGGGGAATACCTGCAAGGACAGTTTGAGGCCAGTTAACCTAGTGGAAATGGTAGGGAGTTCCCTGAGCTCCAGCGGTTGGTCCGGACTCACCCCTGCATCGGGCGCTGGTGGCTCTGTTCCCTGTGCTGCCAGGGGCCATGGGTGGTCCTGGGGCCAGGGACTTCTCTGACCTGCAGGATACAGAAGGGCCTCAGGACAAGTCCTGTCCCTGGCAATCCTACTAGGTGACTACATAATGAAGGGTTAGCTCTAGACCTCCTGTGTTCCCATTGGATGCCCTCCCCTGAGGCCCAGAGCCCATCTCCCTGCACAGGCCTCCGCATACGGACGCTGCCCACATCCGTGTGGAGGTTGAGGAGGGCCCGGATGCAGAGGGGTTGTGCCATGATGTGGCTGAGGGGTGGCCGCTGTGCAGGCTCCAGGCTGAGCAGACTCAGGACAAGCTGGCGCAGCTCAGGGCTGTACCGGTCAGAGATGGGCGCAAAGGTGCCACTCATGATCTTCAACACCAGGGCTGGCAAGTTCTGTGAAGGCACCACATGTAGGGATGGCCAGGGTGCTAGGTTCCGCTAGTAGGTGGGGAGGGCAGTTCCCCCACTGAGGGAACAAAAACAGGTCTACCCTCAAGACACCCAGTCCCATCAGAGAAGGCAGAATGGAAACAGAGTCTGACACTACTTCAGAACTTCTTAGTCTGATAAGAAAGTTTCAGCTATGTCCTCAGAAATCCCAGGTGCTTTAGGAACCTCCAGGTTTGCTCTTGGGAATGTTTCTAATCTGACAGAAGAATCAGGGATCACATCCACTCCCTCAGGAATTCTCAGGCTAAAACAGGACTCAAGCCCTACCCTAGTCTGAGCTGAGCAAGGGAGAGAGGCACAGCCCTGCCCTAGGGTAACCAACGAGCAGGTGAGGGACTGACATGACTCAACCAGCCACAAGAGAAGGAACACAGAAGTGGTCAGAGCTATGGCAAAGGGGTTGGGAGTTCTGAGTCCCTGAGGGGTGTCTGTACTCACCGCAGCCTCAAAGGCTCTCTTGAGACTGGCCAGCTCATATAAGACACAGCCCAGAGCCCAGATGTCACTCTTCTGGTTGTAGGGCTTGCCCTCACACAGCTCAGGGGAGATGTAGCACGGAGTACCCACCACCTGCAGGAGGGAAGTCTGTATTACAGTCCTGGGAAGAGAGGGACAGAGGAGAACTTCTCAAAGCAGGCCAAGGGCTTTCTCTTGCAGGCCCACAGAAGGAAAGAGGAAGAGGCCGGAACGTAGAGCAAGCTTCAGCACCGTGTAGGCCTTGCTCTTGCTGCTGAGGATCTTGGAGATGCCAAAGTCACCGATTTTGACGATCATGCGGTGTTTGTCGAGAAGGATGTTCTGGGTCTTGAGGTCCCGGTGCAGGATGAGGTGGGTGTGTACATGATGCAGTGCGAGCAGGATCTGCACGAAGAAGTGAAGGATGGTCTCCTCCTCCAGCAGGGAGTTGCAGCGCTTCTGGATGAACTCAGCCAGGGTGCCACCTGTGGACCAGAGAACGGATCAAGACCCACATTGCTATAACACAACAGGACACTGGGACCAGAGAGGGCAAGGAGCCTGTCAGGGATACACAAGTGGGGCCACAACACTATACCTCTGCCCTTCAGCCAACTCTGACCCAGAGGGAAGCCACCTCATGCTGTCCAGATCTCCTGGAAGGAAAAGGTCCTGCAGGCTGAGGCAAGGCACCTGGCCTACCTGGTGCGTATTCCATGGCAATCATGAGGGCCTTGTCTTCTAGAAAGTTCTCATAGTACTCGATGACGTTGGGGTGGTTGAGCAGCTTGAGCACCTGGCACTCATTCTGTGCTGCCTGTCGCTCTTCCTTGGTCATCTGCTCTACTGGGATCTGCTTAATGATCACCAGCTTTTGGTCAGCCTTGCGCAGACACAGGTGCACAATCCTAGGGACACAGAGCAGAGCAGGTGACAGCTAGGCTTAGGGCAGCCTGTAGACCACATGCTCTTTAGATGACTGAGCTTGCGCATGGTGGGCATGAGCTTGGGCTGGAAGTTCAAGGACAGTGTGACAAGACTCCAGCTTGTCAAGAAGAGAGGTCTGGAGCAACGGCTCAGCACCCGTGTCCGCAGGCTCAAAACCACCAGTAACTCCAGCTTCAAAGGGTCTGATGGCCTCTTCTGGACTCTACAGGTGGCATTCACTCACTCGGAAAATTTAAATATTAAAAATAAATCTTGGGGTGGAGAGATGGTTCAGCATCAGGCTGCTTTTCCAGAGGGCCCAGGTTTGGTTCCCAAAACCCACATGACAGCTCACAACTGTCTGAAATTTCAGTCCAGGGGATCCAACTCCATCTTCTGGCTTCCTCAGGCACGAACATGGTGAATATGTTATGTGCATACTAAATACTCATGCATATGATATAAAATGAAATCTTAAAAATCTCAGGCTGAAAGCCTGGCAGTGGCGGCGTACACCTTTACTCCCAGCACTCGGGAGGCAGAGGCAGGCGGATCTCTGTGAGTTCGAGGCCAGCCTGGTCTACAGAGCTAGTTCCAGAATGGGCTCCAAAAGCAATACAGAGAAACCCTGTCTAGAAAAACCTCTAAAAATAAATAAATAAATAAATAGTGGTGTTGCATGTATATAATCCTAATAATCCTAGGACTCTGGGAGATAGGACAAGAGGAAATGGATTTCAGGATTTCAAGACCATCTTTAGCCACATAGCCTGAGGTCCACGAGACCCTGTCTCAAAACAAGGCCAGGAAGCTGACTCAGTGGGTAGAAGGTATTTACTGACCAAGCCTCATGACCCCTACATCCCGAACGCATCCATTTGGTAGGAAGTCATTCCCATGAGTTGCCTTCTGACCTCTACACTCATGTGAATGGACTTGTGCTGGGGCACGCCTTTAATCCCAGCACTCCAGGAGGCAGAGGCAGGAGGATCTCTGTGAGTTCAATGACAGCCTGGTCAATAAAGCAAGTCTTACTACAGCCAAGGACACAGAGAAACTCTTGTCTAGAAAAACCAAACAAAAACAACAATTTTAACCTCCTTATGACCTATGTAAAACTGGGAAGTTTACTTTTGTTGTTGTTGTTCGAGACATGGTTTCAAAGCAATTTGGAACCTGTTCTGGGACTGGATCTGTAGCCCAGGCTGACCTCCAACTCTCACAGAGATCCGCCTGCCTCTGCCTCCCAAATTGGGATTAAAGGCGTTCACCACCAACCAATGCCTGGCTAGAATTTAATTTTTTTAAACCTATGTTTTCAGTTTTAGCAGCATCACTTCTTTATATGTAAATCTGTTCAATGCATTCATAAGCAACTTGTACTCTCATTTACAAAAGAAAATTCTGTTTTTGTTTTAGGCTTTTAAAAATATTTCACACGCATAAATTTTTTGCCTGAATGCATGTATGTGCTCACAGAGACCAGAGAGGGTGTTGGATCCCCTGGAACTAGAGTTTCATATATTTGCAAGCCACCATGTAGAAATTTGGAATAGAAATGGGTCATTTCGGGAAAAAAAAGTGCTCTAAACCACTGAGTTATTTTGAAATAGTTTTACTATATAGCACAGGATGACCTTGAAAACTCATTGTGTCCCCCAGCTTGACCTTGAATTATCTATTCTCAGCTTTCTAAGTGCTGAGATTCCAGGTTCCTCCCCTCCCCTTTTGGCTGTCCTGAAATTCACTTTTTAGGCCAGGCTGACCTCACACCAAACTCACAGAATCCGCCTGCCTCTGCCTCCCAAGTGCTGGGATTAAAATCCTGCGCCAGCTCTGCCGGAGATACCAGGTTTCTGAAATTGTTTTCTGAGTAGAGGTCTGTAGAAAGAACTGAGATTTTAGAGCTATCGATAACTGAACTGCCTCTAGCAATGACAATTTCTTACTTAAAAAGTGACCTCTGCCCAGCATTCAGGAGGCAGAGGCAAGCGGATCTCTGTGAATTCAAGGCCAGCCTGGTCTACAGAGTGCCTGGACATACAAAGATACACAGAGAAACCCTGTCTCAAAAAACAAAACAAAAAGTGTCCCCTGGCCTTCTAAAACAGTCTCCTTTATTCCCATCACTAAAGCTCTAAACTCTACATAGCAGACATAATGGCACTTGGTTTAGTTTCCTAGTGCTGGGGATCAAATCCAGGACCATCTAACACTGGGCTACAGCCCTAACCTGAGGATGTCCTGGTAAAATCTACATGGATCATATTAGGTCACTCCACTGTTTTTTTGTTTTGTTTTCCAGAGACACAATCTTATAGAGCCCAGGCTGATTTTGAACTTGCTATGAAGTACATACATTTAAAGACCTTGAAATTCCTATCCTCAGGTTTCTGCCTCCAATGATGCTGGGATCACAGGTATGCGCCACCACACCCCATTCCAGTTTTAAAATTCTTCCCTGGTTTGGGGTGAAGCTCTATGATACTGTGAGTTCAATCCCTTCCACAAACAAGAACAAAAAAATCCCTCTCACCTTTATACTTCAACTTCACCTCTTACTCTGTTTACAAGATCACAATCTGGTCCCGCCCTCGGTGACAATCACATTCTTTGCCTTGCCCACTACATTCCAACTACACTAGTCTTTTTCTCAGTTTCTTGAATGCTATGCTTATTTTCCTGTTGAGGATCTTTGCAAATGCTGCTTCATCTGCTAGAAGAACTCTGCCTGTCCTAATTTCTTTAAGTCATGCTAGACGGGAGCATGATACACATTCTCAGTCCCCCTTTTTTCTTTTTATAAAGTTTGAGATGGGTAGCATTAAGTTGCCCAGACTGGCCTTCAGCTAGTTATGTAGTCCAGGCCTGCCCAGCATGTACCATAAAAACTGGCTTGTTGTCTTTTTTTTGGAGACAATCTCTATGTAGACCAAATTGGTCTCAAATTCACAACAATGCTCCTACATCTGTTACCAAATACTGGAATTACAGGCATATACCATCCCACCTGGTGCTCGGCCTCTTAATAACTCTCCATATCTGTTCAAACTTCATTAACTGGTTATACAATATCTTGTCTATTTGAATCAATTATGTGCTAAGTAGGTAAAGGGGAAGTACCCACGCCTGTTTTGGTCGCAACTGTATATATACTCCGGGAAGTCTGACCTGGGCAGCTAACGCTCATTATCAGCATTATTAGCAGCAAAGAACAAGCTATCAGTGGAAAGAACTATATTCCAGGAGCACTGGCTAGTCTGGTGGGCGTGATTTCGCTCCGCCTAGACCGAAGGACTAGCTGTCTGGGCGGGGCATCCCGGAGTAGCGCTCTCGCTTCGGGGCGGGGCCAGCAGGCCCAGGATTTCTTAATAAGAATTGGGGTTTATTTTCTTTTTCCCCTACTATTTCCTCCCCAAAGCCCTGGCTCACCCGAAGGCACCTCTTCCCACCACTCGAATCCGCTCGTACTTCTCCATTTCATGTCTCTGATACGCTTCAAGAATTCCCGTGCGGCGCGTGCGCGGACCGCCCACCCGGGAGCGCCGCCCCCTAGATGCAGGACTTTCGCAGGGCGGAGCCGATGGGTCCGGGGCGGCTGTTAAACTCCGCGCCTTTTCTTTGACTGTAAATCGCTTTTTCCCAACGGCCCTGCCCCCCAACGAGGGGCAGGAGAGTGGACATTCCGGGTTTCTTGGCGGGCCGCTCAATGCTCAGCACTTTGCACACGCGTAACTTGGCATAGGTCGTTCGACTGGAGCGATGTGGCGGTGCTCACTTAAGTTGCCCCGCGCAAACAAGATTGTGCCCCAAAGGTCGAATGGGAGTGGGAGGCGAGGACCGAGTCCCCGCTGCCTACTTCAGGAACATGAAGGGATTTCTTCCTGGCATGTGAAGGATAAACCGAGAGCGTGCTGTGTGAGATGAGAAGCGGGGGTTGCTTGGTGTTTGCCAAGGGAGAAACCGGGAAAACCCCAGATGGACAAACTGATTCACCTGGAGAGTATGTGACGTGGTCCCCTGGTTGTCACACCTTCTCAGCACCGCGCTCTCGGCTTTTCAGAACCACGAACAAGACGCTGCCCTAAGGGGGGGGGGCAGCCCTCGGTGCTCATCTCGAACCTCTTGGGGGTGAGATGGGAATGGAAGTAAACCTCCTCTACCCGAAAGTGTCAGGGTGGGGGAAAACCCGAGATGGTTCTGCGCTTCTGCCCAGAAATAGTAGGCTAGTTAGTGTCACTGCTAGAGTTTCTTTCGACCGGGTTCAATTTAATCCTTATTCATGTCACCGCTGCTCTAAGGGAGACATAAGACCCTAGTATTCAGGAGGTGGTCGTTAGCTAAGGGTTAACCTCTTTATTTCTGAATGGGTGAGGAAGGCGTGGGAAGGGATGTTTATCTTTTGTCCCCGCCCCGCCCCAAACTAGCCTACGTGGAAAGACTGGAGGGAACCTGCGGTCACTGGCTCAGGCCGGAGTAGGCTGGTAGACAGCGGCTTGGGAACTTGGGAGCACAAAAGGGGGTAGACTGCTCACCCAAAATATCACACCATGCTGTCACTTAGTAACCGTCTGGGCCTTGAGTGACCCTGGAGCCCCATGGGGGTTAATGTGTAACCCTGGAACCATCAGGGGAGACAACAAACACCCAAAAGGCTTTCTTTGGTCCCTGGGTGTCCGAGCTCGGGTTTCTAGGGTTTTTTTTTTTCCTTTTGAAACACTGTTCTTCTAGTGCCCACTTTCTACTCGCGTCCTTCACCTTCACCTCCCTAAAGTACACCCCTTCATTCCCCGCAGCTGCTCAAGCCTGCTGCTTTTCCTCCGGGTCTGCTTATCCCGCTCCGCAGAAGTGCCTTACTCATTGTAAGGCGGGTTGGAGCCCGTACCACAGTGAGGTCAGCCTGACACCTAGTGGCCAGAAGTCGCAACTGCTCCAGGCCACTGCCCTGGAGAGAGGGTCACCCCAGCTGTCTCGGCAAATCCGGAGCCTTCCCCGCCCCAGCCTCCAAGGAGCCAGAAGAGGGTTGGGACTGTCTGAGGGAGGACTGTGACAGCCGCTAGGCTCTAGGAGCCCAAGAGCGGTGGGGAGAAGAGGTGTGATGATGGGTGACTCAACAGTTCCTAAGCACCATTCGCGCGGGGCGCGGGAGAAGCAGGTAAACACGTCGGTCTAGGAGAGGAATCGAGTCTGAGCAGAGCCTTGATCCGAAGCACCGCTCCTGATCCCCCAGGACCAGGATGTGACTGACCCCGGTGTGTGATGGTCCCGCCCTGGAAAGAGTTGAGAGGAGCGTTCTCGCGGTACCCGCCCAGGGTGTGGGAGCCGGTGGCCGTAGAGAAAGTGGCGACGTATGCTCGAGGGTGGATGAGGACGCCTTCGGCTGTCGGGAGGCGCCAGAGAGGGGTGCTTCGGCGACGATGGCGGGGACAACCCCTTCGCGCTCGAAGTCGGCGGGATCCGGGCGGGGCCCCAGGGGACACGGGGCTCGCGCCCTCCTCTCGGTAGAGGCGTCCGAGGGGCGGGGGCAGGCGGCGGGGCGGGGCGGGGGCGCGGGCGGCAGGGGCGGGCTGAGGCCTCGGCGGGAGCGCGGGGAGGAGCGAAGGGGCCTTGAGGGCTCCGCGAAACTGTGGGTCTGGCGGCCCGCGGCAGAGGTGATCGTGGCTCGCTGGCCAGAGACTGAGTCGTTCTCAGAACTGCCGGAGGAGTCGGCCTAAAGGGCGGACAGACAGACGGCAGGGAGGGCCAGCATGCACCTACTGTTGCACCCCGCCTGGCCGCTGCTCCTGGGCGCCACGCTGACCTTCCGGACACTCCGGCGAGCGCTCTGTCGCCTGCCTCTGCCTGCTCACGTGCGTTCCGACCCCCTGCGCACCTGGCGTTGGCACAACCTACTCGTCTCCTTCACCCACTCCATTGTGTCAGGGATCTGGGCACTGCTGTGGTGAGTGAACAACCCGGGGTATTGAGATGTCCGTGGGATCTTTCGCGGGGTGCTCGGGCCGTTCTCCCTGTTGCTATTCCCATCACTCACGGGTGAACAGTATCTCACCTGATTCCCTGTTTGGAAAACTACCCAACCAAGAACGGCTGTGGGAAACCCGAGGTACCTGGGCTTTGGCCAAGCCCCTCCTTACTCTTCAGTCAGCCAATAGTGGGCAACCAGAGTGCCCTGGGACTGGCAAGTGTTGGGGGAGGCGAGGGTCCTCCGGGAGGCTGCAACCGCGAGAATGTCCCCTTTCTCCTTTTCAGCATATGGCAAACCCCTGAAATGCTGGTGGAAATTGAGACGGCATGGTCACTTTCTGGCTATTTGCTTGTTTGCTTCTCTGCAGGTAGGTTGTGCCCAAGGAGGCCGAGAGTAAGAAGTTTGAAGGCGGGTAAGAGTGTTCAGTCTGTTCTTTTCTCCACCCCTCCACTAGGATACTTCATCCACGACACGGTGGACATCGTGGTTAGTAAACAGACCCGAGCTTCTTGGGAGTACCTTGTTCATCATGTCATGGTAAGTAAGAAACCGGTGATGTGTTAACAAAAACGTGATCACAGAACCCTTTGAGGCAGGGAGACCATCTCACTAAACCCACCAGGGTACAACTTCCAGTTTGCCTTGACTCACCTACTTACTATCTAGGTAAACAGACTAGGAATGTCATACAGAGCTAGATCCTAATGGACAAAGTCTAACCCTCCTGTGTGTGTTTGGGTGGGTGGGACTTAGCATTTCTCAGGTGTTTGATGAGCCCAGAAATGCTATGGCACCTTTGTGTTCTTGAATCAGCCCTCGTCCTGTCACTTATCCCCTAGGCTATGGGTGCCTTCTTCTCTGGTATCTTTTGGAAAAGCTTTGTTGGTGGTGGCGTCTTAACGCTACTGGTGGAGGTCAGCAACATCTTCCTCACCCTAAGGATGATGATGAAGATAAACAACGCACAGGATCTCCTCCTCTACCGGGTCAACAAGTATGTCAACTTGGTCATGTACTTTCTCTTCCGCCTGGCCCCTCAGGTCTACCTCACTAAGTTCTTCCTGCAGTATGCTGGCCAGAGGACGCTGGGAACATTTTTGTTGGTCATTCTGCTAATGCTGGACTTGATGATTCTCATCTACTTTTCTCGACTGCTCCGCTCTGATTTCTGCCCTGAACGTGCTCCCAGCCGCCAACACAAAGACAAATTCTTGACTGAGTGAGAAAGGATAACCCAGGACATGTGGCAGGGACAGCCAACAGCTTTGTAACAAACTAGGGCTCTGCCTCAAGCCTGGGTGTATTCTGGGGCCAGGCTTCCCACCTTGAGCCTACACCCACACTATTGAAAACACTAATAATGAAAGCTCTTCTCTGAAGTCCTTCTTGGGCAAGGGGTGAGGGAAGCAGACCAACCGGTTGGGCACGGTAGGATGGGAAAGGACAAGACACTGTCCAAAAGCCAGTCAACCCACACCACCCTGAAATGGATGCTGACAACTCTAAAATAACCCCTCTGGTATTGGTTTCACAACAGCCAAGGATAAAGGAAGGAACTCTTGTAAAGCCTGTGCTCTGAACCTGATGTAGGCATGTTGATGAACAGCTGTCTTAAGTAATGAATACCTCGGGCACTTGAGCTCTAGCATGAGAGCTGAAAGGGGGGGGAGCAGTTGTGGTACACCCCTTTAATCTCAGCACCTGGGAGGCAGAGGCAGGCAAGGTGGATGGATGAGTTGGAGGCCAGCCTGGTCTATGAAAGGCTCAAAAGCTACAGAGAAGCCCTGTCTTTTGCTCAGAGCTGGGAGAGCACTTCCTAGCACCACCCCTTACACATAAGCAGTTAACTTAGTGTGTGTCCCAGAATGGCCATGTCCCCAGCCCAACCAGAAATCGATAAAAAGACAAGGAGAGTAATTTATGGTGAAAAAGTGTGTATTTGGAATTAGCCAGCTGGACTCAGTTTAAATGATCCCAATCTGAAAAACAAACAAAAAAAGGAGGTATGTTGTGGAACTGAAAGGTTAAGTGAGCTGGGGTGGTGGCAATGGGGAAGGTGGGGCTTGCTAGTACAGGTTGACTGGGTACAGATATACCACCTGGACAGGATGCTTACTTTGTTGGCAACATCCAGAGCATCATAATCAGGAGCCAACCGAACATACGCCTTCTTCTCTCCATCAGGCCTAAGTAGGAAAGGCAGCCTCAGAGCTGGGCTCTCAGCCTGAGCCCGCCCATATCCCCTCCCTCCTCCCCCCCTGCATCAGTGGTTCCTTTGATAATGTCATCCTTTTCAAGCATTGAGTTTCCATCATTTGCACAGAGGGGCCTAAGAGCCACCGCAAGCTTTCTACTACCTGCCTGGCCCTGCTCACCTTATGAGGGTGTTGACTTTGGCCACATCAATGTCATAGAGTTTCTTCACAGCCTGTTTGATCTGGTGCTTGTTAGCCTTGACGTCCACAATGAACACAAGTGTGTTGTTGTCTTCTATCTTCTTCATGGCTGACTCAGTGGTCAGAGGGAATTTGATGATGGCATAGTGGTCAAGCCTAGCAAGGATGAGAGGAACAAAATGGAGTAAAGTGCTCTGGGCACATTATCCAAGAGGGGCTGTACTTTTGGAAACCAAGTCTAGGAAAGAGGTGCATCAGACAATAAAACACCAATCATCTGTGTCAGACTTTGGTCGCTAAACAGTGTCATCACATGCACCTGGAAGTCTAGGGGTCCAAACTACCCATTTAGAGCCAAAACTTGTATGTATGTTGTCTTGAAGGGCCCACACCCTTTGGAGTATCTAAAGAATCATGCTTACTTGGTACACATTTACCCACTGGAGTTCCATGTTAACTAACACTTTACTATGAGGCCAGATCCCAAAACAGCACAAAAGAGAGAAGTCTGCGCTTGGTGTTAAAGATTGGCTACACTCTACAGATTTTTCAGGCAGAGTCCTACAATGTAGACAAGATGTCCTCAATCCAAGAGCCACCAAGTTCACACACACACCCCTTCACTTCCCAGGCTGGGTATGACCTTGAATGTCAGATCCTCTTGCCTCAGCCTCCTAGCATTTACCATTACACAGGATTACGTAGTGCAGATTGAACCCAGAGCTTCAGGAGTTATACCGAATGAATTACATTCCCAGTTCAGGAGCCAATTTTTCCTTAAAGTTCTGAGATGTCAAACTTTACACATAACAACATTCACGTCTCTTTCAGTACATACATTTCATCCAGTCCTCCAAACTTCCATTGGGCAGTGTTGACATTTGCTTAACTGAAAGTTAATTTCTACACAAGATTAAGAGGCCATCACTGCCCAATGCAGATAAACCAACCCACTCCCATTATCACTCACACGTTCCTTCCCGCAGAAAGTGCCTAGACCCTTGGAAACTTGAGACAAGCAGCGTCTCTGAAGTAGACATTCATATTGATCACGTTAATCATTAACACAAAGATCCCAGTTTCCACTACAGCAGCACATTATGTGTTTTGTAAGGCAAGCCAGTGGGCGGGTAGTAAATTAGCAACCCTAATGCCTTACAACGTACTAGTGGGTACGGGGTCAGTACTGACTTGTTTCTCCGGGGCGCGCTCTTCCGAGGGTATTTGGGCTGCCTCCGGAGCCGCAGGGTCTTGGGCCGCCGGAAGGTGGGTGACGTGCGGATCTTCTTCTTTTTATGGCTGTGGACGCCTTTCAGCACTGCCTTCTTGGCTTTCAAGGCCTTCGCTTTGGCTTCGGCTTTGGGAGGGGCAGGAGCTGAGAGAGAAGGAAACATAACTACAGTGCAGCACTCATAAACTGATCCCTTCCGGCGACCCTGTCAACACGCGCATCAGTGGTTCCTTTGAAGACATCATAGGTCTCAGGACACTAAATGTTTTCCATCATATGCACGATCCTGCGGGCGAAGACAATTAACCCGGAGTGACATCAAGTTGATGCGTGTAACCCCGTTTAACATGGAAAAGGAAGCCATCCGTGTAGGGTTGGGGACACGGAGCGCCACCCTGTGGATGTCAAGTAGCTCCCCAAAACCAACTGCCTGACTACCGGTGGCGAGTGATGCTGGCCGGGTTGCTTCTCCAACTCCCTTCCATTGGAACCAGCCCATGCGGCCTGGCCCACGAGAGCCTCATACACAGCCACGTAGGCCTAATCGCGATAGTGGCTCCAGAGAGAGTAGCCCATGGCCTAGCCCAGCGGTCATCTTCCCCGTGAGTCCGCTCTGCGAATTTCCCAGGCCAAACCGCCACAACCCCATGCGGCAACACACCTTCCTTCTTCGCTTTCGGCGCCATCTTGGCGAAAAGGATTTCCGATCCTCGTTCCCATGAGCTTATAGGATAAAGTCTCATCAAAGCCTCGCGATAATTTATGCATAACGCTGATTGGACGAACAGAAGTAGAGGGCTTTCTGGGACTTGCAGTTCCATTCAATTTCCTAGAGAGCTAGATCAAGCATGCGCCACCCCCTTCATAAGGTCTTAAGGCTCCTTGGGAGTTGTAGTTTTTTTTTTGTTTTTTTTTTTTTTGTTTTGTTTTTTTGTTTTTGTTTTGTTTTGTTTTGTTTTATTCCGGAGACAAGGTTTTTCTGGGGAGTTGTGGTTTATAAAAAAAATCCATGTTTATTTCTCCAGGCCTAACCTGTGGGGGGGTGGTTATAGCACCTGCCGGTTCAGTCTGGTCCCTGACACTTCACTTCTTGAGCAATTTCCAGCCTTAGGGAAGAGGTTTGCAATGTTAAAAGCCAGTACACTACCAACTGGCAAGAATGCAATTTGAGGGATTGGAGATCATGTACTTTGCCAGGTAGTGGTGGCATACGCCTTTAATCCCAGCACTAGAGACGCATAGGCAAATGGATCACTATAAATTCCGAGGCCAGCCTGGTCTACAGAGCTAGTTCCAGAACAGCTATGGCTGTTACACAGAGAAACCCTGTCTCAAAAACCAAAACAAACAAAAGTCATGTACTTCTCTTTCGGAGCGCCTGAGTTGAACTCCCAGCAACCATACCTCTGTGAGCACACACCCACACATAAATAGCATTAGAAAGAATTTTTAAGCTGAATGTGGATTGCATATGCCTTTAGTTCCAGCAGTTCCTGACCTAGACTGCATACCAAGTTCTAGGACAGCCAGAACTACATAGAGAAACCCTGTCTCAAAAAAAAAAAAAAAAAAAAAAAATAATCTGAGCATTGTTGTTGCACACCTATAATCCCAGCACTCAGGAGGTAGAGGCAGGCAGATCTCTATGAGTTCAAGGCCAGCTTGATCTACAGAACTAGTTCCAGGACAGGCTCCAAAGCAATACAGAGAAACCCTGTCTTGAAAAACAAACAAATAAATAAATAAAATCCGTGCTTGGTGGGTTGTCACACAACTGTAATCCCAACACTAGGAGGTAGAAGCAGGCAGATATCTGTGAGTTCAAGGCCAGCCTGGTCTACATAGCAATTTGCAAGCCAAGCAGTTATATGTAGGTAGACCCTATATAAATAAATAAAACGGGGGGGCTGGAGAGATGGCTCAGATGTTGACAGCTTTGACTGCTCTCCTAGAGGTCCTAAATTCAATTCCCAGCAACCACATGATCTATCATCAGTTCTGATGCCCTCTTTTTGTATGCATGCAGACATAACATTGTATATATAACAAATACTTTGGGGGGGGGTTAGACCGGGTTTCTCTGAATAGTTTTGGAGCCTATCCTGGAACTCGATTTGTAGTTTAGGCTGGCCTCAAACTCAGAGATCTACCTGCCTCTGCCTCTGAGTGCTGGGATTAAAGGGATGTGCCACCACTACCTTGCCCAAAGATTTGTTTATGTGTTTGTGTCTGTCCGTCTGTCTGCATGTGTGTGCCTGTGTGTAGGTGCCCACAGGAGCCAGAAGGTTTCAGATATCCCTGGAGCTGTGAGTTATTTATTGGTGGTTGTGAGTCACTATATGTGAGTGCTTGGAACTGAACTCAGGTCTTCTGTAAGAACAGTATGTATACCTGGGCAGAGGAGGGAAAACCACTAATCCCAGCACTCAGAGAAAGAGGCAGGTCTGAGGCCAGACTGGTTTACAGAGAGAAATCCTGTCTCAAACAAAACACAACAAAGAACAGCACAAACTATTAACTGTTGAATCATTGTACAGTCCCTAATTTTTTGTTTATTTGTTTTTGAGACAGGGTTTCTCTGTATTGCTTTAGAACCTGTCCTGGAACTCGCTTTGTAGATCAGGCTGGTCTCGAACTGACAGAAGTCCACCTGCGTCTGCATCCCGAAGCTGGGATTAAAGGCGTGCGCCACGAATGCCTTTAATCCCAATATTTAAAGCCTAATATTTAAAGCAATTTTATTTTATGTGTATGACTTTTGCCTGTATGTGTATGTCTGTGCACATCTGTGCCTGGTGCCAGAGACCAGCAGAGTGTACAGTCTCCTGGAACTGGAGTTACTGGTAGGTTTGTGAGCTGCCATGTTAAGTGCTGAGAGCAGAGCCCCTGCCCTTTGCAAGAGCAGCCAGTGTTCTGAATCCTGTTTTTCCAGACCCAATCTTTTGGTTTATTTATTTAGTTAGTTTTTGTAGTAGGGGACGGCCTTGAACTGCCTGCCTCTGCCTCCTAGTGCTGGGCTTATCCAGCTCTGAATAACTAATAAATCAGGCTGGCTTCAAATTCACAAAGATTTGCCTGCCTCTGCCTCCAAGTTCCGGGAAGCCACACACACAAAAATCTCACTCTGTAGCCCAGTCTCATGCGTGTTGGAATCACAGGTGTGAGCCACCTTGCTAGACTTCAGTAATACTCCTTAATTAGTTCTAGCCACAGCTGAAACATGATTTCTCTAGGACAGTGGTTCTCAACCTTCCTAACGCTACCCTTTATTACACCTGTGGTGGTGACCCCAACCATAAAATTATTTGATGTTACTTCATAACTGATTAATGTAAATATTTGTGTTTTCTGATGGTCTTAGGTGACCCAGAGGGATCACGATCCACAGGTTGAGAAGCACCACTCTAGGATAACCTAGTTTTTCCTGTGAATAATTTAAAAGCTCTCAACTCTGAACTAGTCGTCCCTTTCTAGGACTGTGTTCCATTCATCTTCACATCTTCAAATTTAGCTCCAGACATACCAATTTCTCGCGCATGCGCGCGCGCGCGCGCGCGTGTGTGTGTGTGTGTATCCGCGCGCGCAAATAAGTAAAAGTTGTTCTGGTTTTGATTGTTCTAATGGGGGTAGAAAAAGGTAAACACCCGTATTACGACTTCCTAGAGCCCCAGAATGTGACTACGCTAAAAGACGAAATTCCATAGTCTACCTAACACTTCTTCATCCTTTATGGGAGGAGGCTCGACGGAGAAGACAGGACCAGATATGAGAGGTCTGGTCCTTGGTGGACACCTGGTTCAGATCTTGGCATCCCCTTAGGCGTTTCATCCCACCTCTCAGGGCAGAAGGGCAAGCAGGGGCAGACTCTATGAGTCATTTTCCAGGCCTGGAGTCGTGGAGGGAAGCGCCGCCTCTCCTTGGGCCCCTTCTCTCCCCCTTTTCCCCTCGGCGACTCTGGCTCTTGCCAGATGCTGCGCTACAGTCACCGGCTCCCCATCACCAGTTCCGCTGGGTAAGGGGTCCCAAGGAAGATGCAGCCGCGACAGAGAGATAAAGGGGAGAGAGGCTTAGGGGATCCCAGCCTGGAAGGCTGCAGCCTGGGTGGAGGCAGTCTTGGTGTGGGGTAAAGAATCTGGTCCACAAGCTAGAGCCGGGGCCGCGGGAAGGAGAGCAGAGGAGGGGGTTGGCCACAGCCGCGACTAGGGCGGCTGCAAGCCCCGGAGCGGCGGGGTGCGGGGCAGGGGGCGGCCCTTCTCCAGGAATTTCCGGGGATCGTGTTACAGAGTTCGCGGAGTGGGAACGGAGTGGGACGGCAGGCCTCGCCGCGGGTCCAGGGCCCTCGCCCCCTCCTCTCACCGTTGGCGGGCGTCGGCAGCGCCGCCCCAGCGCGCACTGACCCGGTGTGGCGGGGCGGCCCCGCGCCCCCAGGCCGCTCTGTTATGGTAGGGCCATCCCAGTCCCGAGTTGTCGTCGGGTCTCCGCGGCCCCGGGTTATCGTAGGAGCTATCAGACCCCGTGTCATTGTAGGGTCCGCGCGGGCCCGGGCTCCCCGGGACGCGACTCCCCGCCCACAGCTAGAGGCCGGGGGGTCTCCCCGCCCCCGAGTGGTCTTCGGAACGCCCCGGGCTCGGGTGATTGTGGGCTCTTCCAGACCCGAGGTGATCGTCTCATCCTCTTGGCCCGCGGTGGTCGTAGCGTCTCCGAGGCCGAGGGCTCCCGCAGGCTCCCCTTGGCCCCGGGTGATTGTCGGTACCCCGCGGCCGCGGGTGATCGTCGGGTCCCCACGGGCCCGGGCTGCCGGGGCGGATCAGGCCTCCGCGCCTTCCCGGGGAGCCCCGCAAGGCCGCAGACGAGATGAACATTCTGGCGCCCGTGAGGAGGGACCGCGTCCTGGCGGAGCTGCCGCAGGTAGGCAGCAGGGCCACGTCGGGCCTCTGGCTGTAGCGGAGTGTGGGCGGGGAGAGGTGGCACCCGAGCCGTTGGATTGGGCCCAGCAAGGCCCGCTGTTCCTGGGTGGTCCGCTTCCCACCCCACCCCCCAGCCCTGGCTGCTTGGCCGCGGGACAAAAGCCCCATTCTCACTACGCCCCTCTTAGTGCCTGAGGAAGGAGGCCGCTTTGCACGTGCGCAAAGACTTCCACCCCCGCGTCACTTGCGCCTGCCAGGAGCACCGGACAGGCACCGTGGGGTGAGTTAGGAACACTCCTAACTTAAAAAAACATAAATACTCAAGAAATTTTGAAGGCACTCGAATGACCGCTTTGAGGTTACATGGTTATGTCTCAACTCCGACGTTCTCTTTCCTCCCAGCTGGGTTGTTTCAAGACTTTGGAGAAGGCATCCAACATGAGAGAGGTCATACACTCTCCATAGAGCCTCTAGGCTGCGGGTGTGTGCAGCTCAGATAAAGAGAGCACTTGTCTAACGTGTAAAGCTCTGGCCCATCACGACCCCCTCCCATCACACACACACACACACACACACACACACACACACACACACACACACACGAGAGAGAGAGAGAGAGAGAGAGAGAGAGAGAGGAAGGAGGGAGAGAGAGGAGGGAGAAAGAGGGAGAGGTGTGAAAGTCCCTAATGTTGAACACTGCCCCCAGGAAGGCTGTGGGTGGTAATATAACTTTCGGCTTAGCTGCAACTAATACCCAGTAAGTGTGTTAGAACCCCGTATCGTGAAAAGTTGAGGTTCACTTCCATTTACTTTTCTGTCCAGCAGATTTAAGATATCCAAGGTCATCGTTGTGGGGGACCTGTCTGTGGGGAAGACCTGTCTCATTAATAGGTAACGTAACGGGGTGCTGGAGCTTGGCTGGGCGAGGACACAGTAGGATCGGTCTTCACAAAGTGGGCTGTGCTACAGGCTACTTGGTGCGTCCTCAGGTTCTGCAAAGACACCTTCGATAAAAATTACAAGGCCACCATCGGAGTGGATTTTGAGATGGAACGATTTGAAGTGTTGGGTGTCCCCTTCAGTCTCCAACTGTGAGTGTCCCTTCCAATCCTTTCAGCTAGCCTTGTCACCCTATTCTGCATACCTTAGTATCTAGGCTCTCCTCTCCTTTCTTCTAGTTGGGACACTGCTGGACAGGAGAGGTTCAAGTGCATTGCTTCCACCTACTACCGAGGAGCTCAAGGTATGGATTTAGCCCTGTAATGCAATCAGCCTATGCACATATCAAGCTCCTAAGTAGAATGAGGAAGCCCGGAAAATGAGCCTAAGGCATCTATAAGTCAATCAGCGTGCTGTTGTTTCTGTCACCCTTTCAGCCATCATCATTGTCTTCAACCTGAATGATGTGGCATCCCTGGAACATACCAAGTATGTAAGGATGCCCAGAGTGGGAAGTTTAAAGAGGGTTTAGACAAGGTGATCAGAAAAAGAGGGTGTATCTAGGGCTGTGTCTGTAGCTGAGTGGAAGAGCATATGTCGGCAATGTATAGGAAAGTGGGATTAGTCCTCGGAGTGATGGAAGGGTGGAGGGGGCAAGGAAAAAAAAATCAGAGCTAGTAACTGGACATGGGAAAGATGGTGGATGGGGATGGGGCCTGTCAGACTCATGCATTCCTTATTGCTGTCCACCATCTGTGGCAGGCAGTGGCTCGCTGATGCACTCAAGGAGAATGACCCATCCAATGTGCTTCTCTTCCTTGTGGGTTCCAAGAAGGACCTGAGTGTGAGTGTGCCAGTGGGGGAACTTCCCAACTTGGTGAGGGGACCCATCCCCAATCTGACACTGATTTTCTCATAGACTCCTGCTCAGTATTCCCTAATGGAAAAGGATGCCCTCAAGGTGGCTCAAGAGATTAAGGCTGAGTATTGGGCAGTGTCCTCCCTCACTGGTGAGTTGGTCTGCCATGTGCACCTGCTCACCTAACCTTTCAATCCTACATCTTTAGCTGGGTCCAGTGTTCTAGGCACAGTTTCCACTGAGCACCAGTCTCTGCTCCCAATGTCAGGTGAGAATGTCAAGGAATTCTTCTTCCGAGTGGCAGCATTGACCTTTGAGGCCAATGTCCTGGCTGAGCTTGAGAAGTCGGGGGCTCGGCGCATTGGAGATGTTGTTCGTAAGTGCTTACCTGACTGAAGGTAGCAGAGAGCAAGGGGAGTAATGAACCCTCCAATCCCGTCTTCATGTATTTTCCGCCCTTTCCCAGGCATCAACAGTGATGACAAAAACCTCTACTTAACTGCCAGCAAGAAAAAGACTACATGTTGTCCTTGAAGAGTGAGGATTATCCAAGAAACTGCCCATTCCTGGGGTACCGCTTCAGAATTCAACCTCTAGATGTTTGCACTGCCTTTTTTCAGACCAAAGAGCTGCCCCTTGAAGGCAGTGCCCCCAGAAGGAAACTGGGACCATGCTAGTCACTTCCTGCCCCTGGCACCATGCCAAAGACTGGATGACCCTCTACTCCTCTGGGGCTGGGAGTTTCCAGGGTGTCTGGTGGGGTTAGGGTTCATGCTGCTTTTGCTCAGCCTGCTGGGTCCTTCATTGTGATGATGCTTAATAATTCCAGCCTTATACTGTGCCTTATGCATTAAAATCTGCTATTAGCATTTTTCTGCACTGGAGTCCTTTATAGGGGATAATAGATGTAGAATGGGTAGGGGCATGTAGTACTTTAGGGACTGCTGCCCCTGTGGGGATTCTGTTTATTCTTGCCCCCTAAGGCAGGGTTCACTCTGGCTGACACCTCAGAGACCAGGTTTTGGAGGACTGGCTGTACCCTCTAGATCCTCATTGGGTTAAAATCTGAATAACTACCTTCTTTATTCCTTGCTGTTTTTCTTCCTCTCTGTCTCCCTCTCTCTTTGAGGCAGGGTCTCTTGTAAGCTAGCATGAGCTTGAAATTAATATGTATCTGAGTACTGTGTGCCATTGTCCCTAGAGAGATATGAACAAACCTCTGTTTGTCCCAGATAGGGAACTGATGACAGACTAAAGTAAAGATATGTATCATCGAAGTCCAACTTGATGAACCTATGAGTTTTATACAGGTTATTTACAGGAGTGTGGGTGAGCGTTTACTTACAGGAGTGGAAATAACTCAAATATAACTGCATCACCAAAAGCTACCCCAGTATGACTGCCAGCTTATAAAACCTGGAGCTTGCTGCACGGCCTTCAGGCAGCTGAACAGGTTGGAGGGTCTTTCTTCCAGCCAGTTCAGCTTGTCTGGGAATATCTCTCAAGCAGTCCTGACTGCTTAAATATGCTAGTATATCTGCTCAATTTCAGGGACTTCCTAAAACCTTTGAGCTTTTCCAAGTTCTGTAAACCAGCACATGAGACATCATTAACAACAGGGCCTTGCCATTCAGTTTTGAAATGTCACTGACAGCAGTGGTAATAGCCCTTACTGTCTTAAAGCTTCTTGGGCCTCATTGGCCAGCAACTCTTTTTTTTTTTTTTTTTTTTGGCCAGCAACTCTTATGGAGGTAATCTACCTATACCACTAGGGGTTTATACTTATTTTTGAGATGGGTTTTGGGTTTTATGGTTAGCCTCAGGTGACCTGGACCTCAGAGACCCACCTGCCTCTGCTCCTGATTAAAGGCACATGTCATCACATCTGGCCTTGTCCCTGTTTTCTTGCTTTCTTATTTCTTATTTATTTATCGAGTTAGGGCCTCTTTAGATAACACATGTTGTCCTAGAACTCACTATGAAGACTAGGCTGGCCTCACTTAAAGGTGGGCACCAGGGATAGAGATGGCTCAGCAGTCAAGAGCAAGATCCCAGTTCACCCAGCACCCACATGGCAGCTTACAACTGTCTGTAATTCCTGGATCAAACATCCCCCCACACAGACTAAATATGCAAGTGAAACACCAATGCACATTTGAAAAAAGTCTAGAACCATCATGCCCAGCCTGCCCTCTGCTTTTTGAGGCACACATGTCCTGCCTTTGGAAGCCACTTGGAGGGAAACAGAGATATGCTATGTGGAATTATCTGCGAAGCAGCTCTCATTCGTTCGCTGTCTTGTATCTATTTTCCATCTCTGTTCCCTTGTACTGTGGTTCCTCCTTGTACAAAGCTGGTTAATTCAGTGTGCACATGAGAAGCCACCTCAGTACTAGAGTGCTCCCAGGGGCCTAAGTGTGGAGTTCCAGGACTGGCATGAGTGGGGATGGGTGCACTTATTGTTAAATTAAGTCTGTGTATTGTGTGTAGACTTTGGGCATCACTGTGTGTGAAATACAAGTGTGCATGCTGTGTTTTGAGGATGTAAAGGGGGTACTGGGACGAAGTTGCCATGAATTGTAGGCCACCTTACTATCTGGACAGGATAATGAGCTGAATGGCACCTAGGACCAAGTGGCCTATGGGACTGGGAGGAAACCTAAAGGGTGGGGCTGGGGTGGATGATCTAGTGGTCTGGAAGTGTGGGGAGGTACCATACACAGTGGAGGAGAGCCAGCATGTCACCAAGGAGACCCAAAGCCAGGATACCCGAAATGCTTACATTCAAGAAGACTGCTCCCAGAACTGTCAGGGGCAAACCTCCTCTATTCCCTGGCCTCAGAAGGCGGGACGGGTCCCAAGGTGCAAAGGGACTTGGTACTGGAAGGGGCGGGGCCAGTACCTACTGGGGGCGGGGTTTCGGTCGGGTTTTTCTAGTAGTTGGGACCAGCTTGGAGTTAGGCATGCGACTAAGTGCTGGGTCTGTAAGATAAAGGCAAAAGCAGGTACTGGCGTTAAGGGCGTGACGAAGGGACCTGGAAGGAGCTGGAGATCCCGGATGAAGAATACGACTGACGCTTAGACCCGGGCTGGAAGACGGGGAAGGGGGAGGCGGGTTGGGGGTTGGGCAAGCATGAGGTGGAGCTAGGGGCTGGATTGGACCGTACAGCTGGGCCGAGGGTTCCACTAAGCTGAGGTTCAACGTTGATCTCCGCGAGGTAGAGTCCTGTGGAAGAACTGGGCTGACAGCGATGTGGGTCAGGACGACACTAACGATTAAAAGATGGACTGAGGAAAAGCCTGGCTGCAAAACTGACATTTGGGAAGAGACCAAGAGCACCGGTAAAGGGGCGGGGCAGGAGGCTGGGGGCATAGTTGGGCGGGGCTCTGGAAGATTGCCTTCCTTGGCCTGGAGCAATCGCTTCCCAGCTAAGGCTTAACTATTGAGCGTTGAGCTGCAGCCGCGGGCCTAGCTAGCTGTCCCAAAGGCGCGAGGCTCCGGCAAGAACCCTCCTGGCCCATTGCTCCCCCGGGCGCCGGGGCTAGGTGATCGGTTCCATTGACCTTGAGGGCGGGAAACAGTGAGGATTCCACGAGTGACATCATAATCACCTCCAAGAGGGGGGGCGGGAACCCGGGAGACATTTTCCAGAAGACTCACTGTTCTTGCACCCTCCTCTTCCTTTGCTTCCCTGTTCCCTTCCCTCTTCACACTGTCACCTTTTGGCCGCTCTGGTGCCCATCCTCTGGGCCTCAAAGGCGGGGAGGGGCTTCGCAGGACAAGGAGGATCCTCCACAAATGAGCATCACCAGGGAGTTTGAGTTAAGCCCCTGCGACGTGTCCCAACTAAGAGACCTCAGCCTTTCCCTTCTTTTCAAGCCATTACCCATCCTCATTCTGCTACATGAACTCTGGAGTGCTGCCTTGACCACAGCTGACCTCCATCCTCTGTAGACAAAGACAAAAGATTGCCTTTCTAAATCCCATTCCTCTTGGATCCTTCCTACTTTCCCTCCAAAACAGCTGATGCTGTCAGCATCCACAAAGTGGGGAATGAACAGGCTTCAATCCCTCACAAAGCCTGTTAATTCAACCCCACACAGTCTGTTCATAGTGACTGGAGGAAGGAATACCAGCGGTTTGATCCTTACTGGAATGACTTAGGATTCAAACTGAATAGGGGAGGCTGTGGATCAGGATTAAGAAAAATGGAAGTGAGGAATTAGCAACGTTGGGGATTAAAAGCAAGAGTTTTAGGGGATGGCAACTAGATAGGGAGCTGAATCTAGTTTTAAGACTTAGGAGGCTCTGGAGTTTGTGTTTCCTTAGTCAACAAAGTAAATCATAGGGCTAAAAGCACACAGGCTAGGGGGCCATGAAGACCAGGGCTTTGCATCTGTGTCTGCTATCTGTTTATTACCTTTCATCCTGAGCACGTTATTTAGCCCTTTTGGGTCCCCTGCTATACAAGTTAGATACAAAGTCACATGTTAGGGTCTTGCACTGTGAAAGTGTATATCCTGGGAAATTATCTGCCCCAGAAAAACTCAGGAGAGCTGAGCTCTTGGGGTATATCTTATGGGTAAGAATGCTTGCTTAATGTGTATGAACCCCATACCAGAGACTTCCCCTGCTTCTTTCAAAACACAGCCCGTCAAAATAACTAAGTGAGTAAAGTAAGGGGGGGGGGGCTCATGTCCATAATTCCAGTACTTGGGATGGTAAGGCAGAACTACCATAAATTCAAGGCCAGCCTGGGCTATATGGGAAATTCTAGGCCAGCCTGTGGCTATAAGAAAAGATCTCAAAACTAAATACGTAAAAAGATAAAACACAGGAACCAGGTTTGAACCAGGGAGAAACTTTCTAGTGCTTCTTTGTGGCTCAAATAGTGTATTTATGTATTTCAAGAGGAGACTGAATATATACACGTTGTCAACCAACAATGACTGAGCTATTTCCATGGTTCTCTGGATACAGAGGCAGATGGAATACAGTCATTATTCTTAAGGAACTACAGAGTAATTACAGGAATATCACAGTTCCTAGAACTATGGCAGCAGGTCAGAAGGCACATAGACACACAATTAATTCCACTTGGATAGTACTGGTGTTTGTCTGAGACGAGGTCTTGCTGTGTAGCCCTCCTGCCTCAGCCTCCCAAGTTCTTGGACTACAAATGTATGCCATTCTGGGCAACAACAATTTCCCACTGAGTTGAGCAGGTAGCACTTGGGAGAGAGCAGCAGGGGAGAAAGAATGGTAAAATGAGCTAGACTGTGGTGGTGCATGCCTTTGATCCAAGCACAGGAGGCAGAGGCAGGCAGATCTCTGCAAGTTCGAGGCCAGCCTGGGCTACAGAGTGAGTTTCAGGACAGGCTTTAAAGCTACAGAGAAACCCCATCTCAAAACAAAACATAACAACAACAACAAAAAAAAAAACCCACAAACAAAAAAGCAAACAAAAGCCCCAAAACAAACAAACAAACAATATAATTAAATATAAACCCATGAGTCTTCAGCCACTTATTTATAGATAAAAATACACATCAGAGAAAAGACAGCCTTTCCAAGAAAAGACACTGGAAACTGCATATCCATATGTAAAAGAAGAAAGCTAGTCTTGCTCTCTCCATCTCTCCATGCACAAAAACAATTCCAAATGGATCAAAGACCTTAGTATAAGACTTGGAATTATGAATCTGCTTGAAGAAAAGGCATAGGGAAGGACTTTCTGAATGGGACAAAAGTCCATCAGTAAATAAGATCAATCATTGACAAATGGGATCTTGTGGAAGTAAAAGAATCTATGTAGCAAACTAAATAGAAACAGTTCAAGGAAAGAGATAGCCTAAGAATGGGAGAAAAAATCTTTTCTACCAATGCATCTGATAGAAGATTAGTATCTAAAATACACAACACAAAAAACTAAAAAACAAAATTCAAGCTGAACATGTTGGTACACACCTTTAACCCCAGCACTAGGGAGATAGGAGCAAGGTTATCTCTGTGAGTTCGAGGGCAGCCTTATCTACATAGAGTTCCAGAACAGCCAGGACTATATAGAGAGACCCTGTCTCAAAACAATTAAAGACAAGGGCTTTCATGGAAGTCCAAGGAACAGTTTGCAAAGGAGTAGCTGGTTAACAGTTAAAGAGGAAAAGGCTGGAGCTGGCTACTGAGAAATTGCCAACAGCCTTGCCCAAGGCTATTCTGAAAAAGGAGCAGACCACTGAGCAGAAAGATGTGTCTGAGTTCACTGAAGTTTGGGCTATAGCTCCATTACTGCCTAGTGGAGTTGCTTGGTGATGGTGGTAAATGAATAAATTTAAGTGGGGAATATGCACTCGGTAGAAAAAGCATTGGAGGAATGTTCCACTTGCAAATGTTCATAGTGGGTCAGTCTGGAGAGATGGCTCAGCAGGTAAGAACACCCACTGTCCATATGACTGCTCACAACTTTCTATAACTGTTATTTTGGTTTTTCAGTGTAATATCCTTGGCTGTCCTGGAACTAGCTAGTTCTATAGACCGGGCTGGCCTTAAACTCACAGAGATCTGCATGCCAAGTTCTGGCATTAAAGGTTTGCACCACCACCTGCTGGCTATAATGTTAACTTTTTTTTGGGGGGGGGGGTTCGAGACAGGGTTTCTCTATGTTGCTTTGGAGCCTGTCCTAGAACTTGCTCTGTAGACCAGCCTGCCTCTGCCTCCTGAATGCTGGGATTAAAGGCGTGTCCACTATGTGCCTGGCTTCTTTCGTTTTTTTTTTTTTTTTTTTTTTTTTTTTTTGGGGGGGGGGAGGTTGGTTGTTTTAGACATGGTCTGATATAGTCTAGATTAGCCTTAAACTCCGTATGTAGCTGAGGATAACCTTGAACATTTGACTCTACCTTCTAGGTGCTGGGATGACAGTGTGTCTCAACAGCTGGCTCCATGCTTCATTTTCTAAGGAGGGTGCTTTTCTAATTCCTCTAACAAAGCAAGCTCCATAGTTTAGTGGCAGAGGACTTGCTTAGCATGCATGAGGCCATGGGTTCCATACGATAAAACACAAAGGTAGTCTGCCCAGGGCCACCCTCTGACCAGGCTCCATACACCTGGGACACTGTCCTTACTGCCTCATCTGTCCAGTTCACTGAAGTTCCTAAGTGCTCCAAAGTCCTCACCCCTCCAGTCTTGGCAGGTGGCCCTTGTTCTGCAGCCTGCCCTCTCCTTCCCCCATTTCATTAAACTGCTGCTATTACCTTTTGGCCTCCCTCTCCTTGTCCATCAGCCTCTGGAGAACAGTGGTTTTTTTGTTTTGTTTTTGTTTTTAATTCCTACATCTGCAGGATGTATCAGGGCTCAACATGCTGAGTTTCTTAGGAAATGTGTAGTGAATGAACATCATGGGGGAGGTGGCTGCTGTCACTGTTGCCATTTTGTACTCTCTCAGATACAAGCAGGTTGCCCAACTGGAAGAGGGGACATCTGGCTAGTGTGGAGTCCAGCAGTGATGTATCTTCCTTCTCTGAAGGTGGGTCCAGGGGGACCTATGGCCCCCAGGGGCAACATTACCCCTTATTTGTGAAAGCTAATACCTTGGGGGAGGAGAGGGATCTCAATGGAATTACCCAGATGCCCCAGGGTTCAGGGAAATGACTCAATGGGTAAAGGTGCTTGTTGATAACTTGACAACCTGAGTTTGATCCCCAGGACCCACATGGTGAAGAACCCAACTGAACTCTTGTCTTCTAAAATGTCAGAGAGCCCTCTTGAGTCCTGATCACCCCTTCCCTTTGTAGAATATTTTATGGCACACAAGCCTGCACAATAGCTATCTCTGTCCCATTTTATGGATACAGGAGGCTCAGAAAAGAAAGTTGTCTTAGGTTGTCTTTTTAAGTGACAGAGCCAAGCTTCAGGCATGACTGACTCCAGGCTCAGGGCATATGCTCCTAAGATGCCCTTTGCCTCAATTTAACAGTGAAAAAAAAAAGAGAAGAAAATAGAAGCAGGGGTGATAGTCCAAGGTCCTGCTGTACACATCTCCCTTACTTCCCCTGGGGAGAAAAGGCACAAGAGAAAGTGGGTGAGGGGTGATGTGGGAACTTGGAAGCCTCAGTTTTGTGGGGTAAAGGGAAGGACTGTAGGAGAAAGCCTCAGACCACACTGCTATCTTCTCTCTCAGGCATTTTTGTGAACACTTGGGCTTCCTCACCTTCTGCCTGGGTTAACTCTTGCTGCCATCTACCACTCCAGGAACTGAAAGTCATAACCATCACAGCCTCTTGAGTAGCAACCATAGCTTCCCCACCTGGATGTGGGAACTCATCACTTCCTCCTACAGCAGGGCTGTCCCTGATACCCAGGAGCCTGCTGTAGGGCCCCTCGGTGAGACCAGGGTAGGAGGCAGGGCTGAGAGGCATTTTTACCTCTTAGATGCAAGCAGAGAGAAATCAGGGGTTGCCTGCAGCCCTGAGCAGGGTCAGAGAGGAAGCCCTGCAACCCATGAAAAACCCAGTAAGAAGTGGGAAAAGGGACACAGTATCACTTTGCCTAATTCATAGACTGGGCAGGTTCTTCAGCATTGTGGTTCTGGAGGATGTGAAGTTTAAAGCAGCCAGCCCCCCCCCCCCCCCCCCCCGGTCTCGATGTGTAATCCTGGCTGTCCTCAAACTCTGAGAGATTCACTTACCTCTGCATCCGGAGAGTGCTGGGATTAAAGGCAGGCACCATCACCAACCGGCTTAAAGTGATTTTTTTTTAATAAAGACTTATTTGTGTGACTGTCATATATATTCAAGTCAGAGGACAACCTGCAGGAGCCAGTTCTCTCTCTTAATTTTGTTTTTTGGATTTTTGAGACAGGGTTTCTCTGTATTGCTTTGAAGCTTGTCCTGGAACTCACTCTGTAGAACAGGCAGGCCGACCCACCTGCCTCTGCCTCCCTCGTGCTGGGATTAATGGTGTGGCCCACCAATGCCTGGCCTAGTTCTCTCCTTTTACCTTCATCTGCTAAGCAGCCAAAGGCTATGATTTCAATCAGTAAAGAGCAGGAAAGATGGAGGGAAGTGAGAGAGGTGTGTGGGTGGGGGCAGAAAGGGGGCTAGGAGAAAGGAAGCAAAGAGCCAGCTAATACAGGTAAGGAGCACGCTGGAGAGACCTAGCCAACCCCTGACCCAGGCTGTTCCACTACCCTGTGCCATTCAGGTGGAATGCATCAGAGGCCACCTGGGCCTGTGCAGGGGCAGATGTCAGAACTGAGGCTGCAATGGTGGGCTTGTCTGCCAGACAAGAAGGCCATAGCTATTCCCTATCTGGCACTGTGGTGTGGTGATGGTGGTTAGCAGCAGCGAGTGAGGTGTGCTTGGCTGCCTCCAAATGACCCAGACCCCTCTTCCTTCAGGTGAATGCAAGGAGACTGACAGGTGTTGCTGGAAACACCAGCAGTGTGCTGGGCATATCATCCACCCCTTCTCGGACTGTGGCCATCACAACCGGCACATGCACGCTGTCCACTGCAACTGTGAATCTAGGTGAGGGCCCCCTTTATGGGGGACCCATTCCCTTCAGGGTTCCCTCTTCAGCTTTGGCTTGGTGCTGCCAGCCTAGCCCTAGCTTTTAAACCCTGCTCTGCTCCAAGAACAATGAATGGGGAGCTCTCTTGGCAGCCTGGGCCAGGCCCAGAAGCAGCTGGCTGTCCCTCTGGGCCCCTGGGGAGTCATGGAGGTATGGGAGCCAAGCTGAGAGTCTGGTGTGTGGCAGGCTGAAGGACTGCTCAGAGAAGACAAATAATAGCAGCTCCCGAGATGTAGGCCCGACCTGCTCCAGAGATGGGGGCGCTACCTGCTACAACATCATCCATGCCCCTTGCTTTGAACTCATCCCAGAGGAAGAGTGTGTGGAGCAGATGTGGTACAGCTGGTGAGTGCCAGCTGGCTGATGGGGACACGACTCCAGGGTGCCCTGCTTCAGCTCCATTAATCTCTTCCTGTCCCTTCCTCCCAGGAGCAAAAGCTACAGGCCCGTCTCTGTGGCAGTATTCCACCATCCCATCCATCATGTGTGTAGGACAGGTGTCCTAAATGAGGAGGATGAGGGAGAGACCCCATCTTCCATCCCAACTAAGTGTCCCAACGCCGTAGCTACTGACCCAGACATCAGGCCAGGCCCCGGGGCTCCTGACTCAGCAGCGCCCATCACCATCTGGCGTTCTGAGAGCCCCACAGACAAGAGTCAGGAGGGCAAGGTCATCAAGAAGATAAAGAAGAAAAAGGAGAAAGAGAAAGACAAGGAGGATGAGATAGTGGATGAAAAGGCAAAGTTGAAGAAGAAAGTCAAAAAGGGCAAGTTAACTAAGAAGAAAAGCCCGGTGAAATCAGAGTCTTCCCCTCCAGACATGAGCAGATCACTAAGCCCAAGAGAACTAGTTAGGACATCAGAGTCCAGCCCAGAAAGCCGGGAAGAGCTGGAGAGTGAGGACAGTTATGATCGGGGTAAAGAGGGGCCCTCCAGTGAAGATATTGTGGACTCATCATCTCCCAGGAAGAGAGAGAAAAGCACCCCCCAGGCCAAAAAGAATGGTACAAAGACCTTACAGACCAGGAAGATGAGCAAGAGAAAATCTCCCCCAGTGTCCAACCCCAATCTCAGTTGAGGCCTGGGCAACCAGAGTGAATAAATCAAGCCTGTAACTTGACCCCTACTGCTATTCTCTCTCCCTCCAACAGGGCCTTTTCTTGGGGGAGGTGGCTGGCTAGGGGTCAGGGGATACTCAAGGGGCAATCCTGCTTTCAAGGAGGAAGTCTATGTCTATGGGAAGTTAGGTAGGAGGGAGAGAGAACCCTCTAGGACCAGGTGGCAGAATCCAATTAGGGAGGGAGTGGGAGGCAGGAGACCAGTGTTGTTTGTGAAACTCATTCTGTGGTGAGCAGTGCCACCTTCAATAAACTGAACCTGCCACTCACTTGGCCTGCCTTTCCCTCAAGTAGCCCAAAGGAAGGGCGGTGGCACCGTGCAGGACATGATCTTCCCAGCCGGTGTAGTTCCAGTCTTTTTCCACTCTTGCAGCAGATCACTATGCTGGAGAAAGTAGAGTTCCAGCCCTTTCCCACCAACACAATCAAAGGATGAAGAAAAGCAGTACGAGCTCAAATGCAGGCAGCAGTGGTGACCCAAGCAGAGACAAAAGAGGGGAGGCTTTCTTTTCCCACACTGAATCACTGTGAGATGAAGCCTGTGTGAAGGAACAGGGAAATCAGACACGCAGAATACAGAAGGCTGCGGAAAGAACCAGAGCCAGGGGGCTGGCTGATACTGAGCCAGGAAGGGAAAGGGGTGGGAAGCTGCCCCTCTCCCATGGTTTGTGTGTCTGAGGGTGAGCAGTTGAGGGGACCCATTCTGGGCCTGGAACTTCTCAGAGGTTGCCAGAGACCAAGGTACAGCTGGGAAGGGAAGGGCTCATAGATTTACTTTTCATCACTGTGTGGGAAGACAAGAACACAGTAGTTGGTGGCTAAAAACTGCCAGGCCCAAGCCCTGGCGCAACATTTCATATTGCTCCGTGTGTGTCACCACCTCCTTTCATGGATAGGATAGCCCACGTAAGACAGAAGAAGCTGCTGGAGAGATGGCCCAGCAGTTCAGAGCATTTACTGTTCTTGCAAAATACCTGAGTTCCCAACACCCATGCTCATAGCCACTTATCATCCCAGTTTCAAGGGATCCAAAGCCCTTTTTTGGTCTTCCATGCATGAACCTACACATGCACATATATATTTAAAAATAAGCAGGAGATTGTGGTGCACACCTTTAGCTTTAATCCAGCACTCAAGGAGACAGAGGCAGATGGATTTCTGAGTTCAAGGCTAACCTGGTCTATGGAGTGAGTTCCAGGTTAGTCAGGGCTACACAGAGAAACCCTATCTCGAAAAACCAAAAACCAAGAACAAACAAAAAAACCAAAACCAAAAGAAGCACACATGAGTGTCATTCCTGCAATTCTTTTCTTTTCCTTTTTTCTTTTCTTTCTTTAAGGCAAGAGTTTCTCTGTATTGCTTTGAAGGCTGACCTGGAACTCTATCTGTAGACCAGGCTGGTCTCGAACTCACAGAGATTCTCCTGCCTCTGTCTCTCAAGTGCTGGGATTAAAGGCATGCACCACCACCACCCAGGTATTCCTGCAATTCTTGCATTCAGGAGGCAGAAGCAGGATGGCTGTAATTCCAAGGCCAGCCTGGACCAAAGACTCCCCTTCAAGCTAAGAAAGATGTAAAAAGCTCACAGAGTCATGGGGCTCAGATCAGGGAGGTGAGCATAGTAAATCTGAATCCTGGCCTCTGACAGGTTCTGAGAGGAAGTTTTTGAAGTTCCAAACTGCTTTGAAGCAACCCCTCAGAGCAGGGTGCTGGAGAGAGGCCTCGGCAAGTGCTCTGTAGAAACACTGTTTATTCAAATGACAGGTAGAAGCAAGTGGCAATAAGTAGATGAGGGTAGGTAGGCAGCGGCTGGCAGGTCAACACTGCTCCATATGTCCCCCACAGTCCTACTTTGACAGCCACATCAGGACCAAAACCACTTTCCATCCTCAAACTGAATAAATAGTATCGGTCTCCCCACAAAGGCTGGAAACATGTACAAGTTGAGCCTGATACCCCATTATAGCCTATATCAAGTAAGGGCAGAAACTCAAAAATGGCTTCCAGACTGTTCCAGTTTCACCCTCCTCCTCCTGGCTACATTCCTCTCCCAGCCTGGTCCCAGGACAGGTGGTGGGCACAGTCTGGCATGGGAGAACTGCTCCTTGGTGCACACCAGCTCTCAAGGCTATCCAGTCTGCCACCCATCCAGGCTGACCATTAAAGAGAATGTCATTTCATGCCACTTTATGGACAAAAAGAGAGGGGCAGGGAGTGAGGCTGTGGGTGGCCAGGCCTCTTGGAGCCTCAGAGTAACCAGAGTCCGAGGAACAGGCCCCTACCGATCCATCTCATCCAGGAGCGGGGTCGCATCGCCAGCAGTGGACATGGGGGTGCTTTCAATCATGGGGCTGGGAGAGGGTCGAGGGGTCAGCCGCTGTTTCTGTTTCCGTCGTTCTGCTTCCTTCTCCTGTAGCCACTGCTCGGCCATCTTGCCCCAGTCAATGGCTGCATGGCTGTTGGACCTGGAGCAGAAAGGAAGAGCCTTAAGAGACAGGATTCTTATGTGATTGTGGAAAGGAAGCCTCCCCCAGTCACAGGCGAGACATCACAAAGGAGCCGACTCTTATAGGAAGCAGCCTTTCTCTTGCTCTTCCATTCTTTCCCCAGAAACCAAAGCCCATGGGAACGTCTTACAGGTCTTGGCTTTCAAGATGATACAGAACACCTGTATGTTAAGTCTTCAGGCCACACGGCACCAGCTGTTCCTACTAGTAACCTGCCTGTGCAGTGTCACTATCCATGTACTTACTTTGGCTGTTGTTGCCGTTGTCGGGAGCTGGAGGAAGGCTGGGGCTGGGCCTGAGTAGACTGTGGAGTAGTGCTGGCCTGGAGCTGGTGGTATTGTGGGGTGGTAATGGGCTGGCTTGGGGTTGTGTAGGAATAGCTGGGGGTCATTAGTGGTGTGGCCACTGGTTGCTGGGCTGGCGTTGGGAACACCTGAAGATGGCAGACAGAGAATTAGAGGTAGGTGTGGGCTTGCTTGATTTCCTTGTAAATCTGAGAGGCCATGAGAGCTGGCTCTGAACAGTGCTTTCCAGCTAACCCACCTGGAAGCAGGAGTTTAACACTAGCATACAAAGCTGCCCACTAATCTTGAACATCTCAGGTAGCTTGAGGGTTCCAAATATCCCATAGGGCTCTGTGCAAAGGAAGGCCAGGCCCTTTCTTATTCCCTTCCCTTTCAAATGTGCTAGAGATAAGGAACGTTTGTTGGAGATGGTTCCTCTGCCTGAGCAATTAAGATCCTGGTGGTGGGCGTGGCCAGAGGTGTCTATAGCACCCAAATCTGTAGGTCAAAGAGGATTGCTTCCTCTCCTCCCAACCATTCTGGAAGAACCTTCCCCAAAACACATACATGGTAGGCGCTGCTGCCTCCTCCACTGCCACCATAGCCGTACTGGCTGGATGCCCACTGGGCTGGGGTAGCATTGGGGTTCTGTCCTTGGCCTGTCACAGCAGCAATGGCACTGAACATCTGCGAAGTCATGTTCTGAGGCAAGGCATTCACAGCCCTTGTCAGATCTGTAAACACACAGATGGTCATGTCAGGACGTAAATACCTCCAGTTCTCCATTGCCCTACAAGTCTCAGCCCTAAGCATCCCACCTGCAAGATTGATGTTGGCTGGGGTAGCATTGATAGAAGCAGGGGTCCGAGTCCTGCTGCTGCTACTGGGTGTGATGCCTGTAAGAAACAGATGCAGGCAGTTATGTTCCTCAAGAAAGCTATTGGGGCTTCCCAGTTCAAAAGTCAGTAGAGATTTAATCCCAGCACTCGGCAGGTGGATCTCTGTATGACGCTAACCTGGTCTACAAAATGAGTTCCAGGATAGCCAGAGCTGTTACACAGAGTAACCCTGTCTCAAAAACAAAACAAACAAACAAAAAACCCAAGAAGTCGGAAGAGGAAAAGAAAGAGGGTTGAAGAGAATTTGTACAGGCCAGTGTATAGGAATCCCCTGTTGCTGAAGAGCTGGAGCAGGGTGAGGCAGCTATGATGATAACTGACTTCACTTTCCTGAGCCAGGACCTGTGTCCCTCTCACCACAGCCTAAAGTCAGGGTATAGTAGAGCTCACCTGGTACAGGATCCTGATAGTGATCCTTAAACCACCTGAAGAGACCATTCACAGTTGGGAAGATCTGACCCCGGTACCGAAATCCTTCAGGAGTCACCGTTACATATTCAATCCTGAGATTTTTATAAGGAAATAAGCATTAGACACCAGCTTGTCTAGCTAGTTTTATGTTTCGTTGGAGACTGGAGAGGAGGGAGCCTCAATTGAGAACAGGTCTCCATAAGACAGGGCTGTAGGCAAGCATGCAGGGTATTTTCTTAATTAGTGACTGATGAGGGAGGGCCCAGCCATTGTGGTGGAGCCTCCCCTGGGCTGGGCTGGTGGTCTTCAGCACTGTAAGGAAGCAGGCTGAGTGAGCTGGTAAGCCTCTGCATCAGCTCCTGCCTCCAGGCTCCTGCTCTGTTGAGTTCCAGACTTGACTTCCATGATGAACTATGATGTGAAAGTGTATAACAAATAAACCTGTCCCCTGCCAACTTGTTTTTGGTCATGATGTTTCATCACAGCAATAGCAACTCTGACTAAGACACCATTTGTGGCCGGCCACCTGTGAGAAAGTGACCAAATAAATATCAAACCATTGGCTATACTGGGTACTGGACGAGTAGAGATGATAGGGAGAAGCTGTACATGACAACACATTGAAGGCTAAGGAGGCAGTGGTCTTGTGTGCTGAGTATAGGCTGCCAGGGGAAGTTGTATTGGAGTCTGCTCTGGATATAGGATGCTTCACTGAGGACAGTATGCTAGAGGTGAGAATGAGACCAAGATTATAGGACATCAGGTGTGAAGAGGCCTCCCTGGGCAGCTCCAGATAAGCACAGAGAATTCTTCAGCACTCTAGAAGGTGGTTAGTCTGCCCTCATTCATTACTTCCGAGAGTAGCAGAGTGGCTAAGAGGATGGGCTTTAGCTTTATA